TAGAATTTGAGGCAACTTTAATTTTTGAAAAGCTACAATGGTGAACAAGAGAGAAGGGGGACATTAGATCTTCAAACATTCATTGCCAGTAGTCACAGCTGGCAATTGACGTTGTTAGAGACAGGGTCATGGAGATGCAGTAGGAGTAATAATCAGAGGCCCTTACCAATTTGAAAAACGGCCAGTTAGTGCCCCCCAAAGATGCTTAGCTATACACCCTTCTGTGAAATGGAAAGTTCCTTACCTATGCTAAGCATTTTTTTAAAAAAATCTCCTTTGAATAGATGTTTATGGTAGGGAGAGATATGATATCAAAGAACCGAATCAGCTCTTTCAGAGTACTAGAGAAGCTGCAAATATCTGTGAATTTCACATATTCTGTGTTCTGGACAGCACCACTGAAAAGCTGTCCACCCTGGGTGTCACCTCCAAGGGGGTTGAGCCAGTGTGGTGTAGTGGTTAAGAGTGGTAGATTCGTAATCTGGTGAACCGGGTTCGCGTCTCCGCTCCTCCATATCCAGCTGCTGGGTGACCTTGGGCTAGTCACACTTCTCTGAAGTCTCTCAGCCCCACTCACCTCACAGAGTGTTTGTTGTGGGGGAGGAAGGGAAAGGAGATTGTTAGCTGCTTTGAGACTCCTTCGGGTAGTGATAAAGCGGGATATCAAATCCAAACTCCTCCCCTTCTTCTTCTTCTTCTTCTTCTTCTTCTTCTTCTTCTTCTTCACTCGATGTCAGTGTGAGATGCTGTGATTTTGGCGTGCACAGGATTCCTGCTGCCGAAACAGTCCGCCTGCTCAGCTCCCCAAAAAAGCTTGACAAAAGAAAGCTAGAAAGAAAGCAAGAAATCTAGAAAGCAAGAAAGCAAGAAAGCAAGCAAGAAAGAAAGTCAAACCATTTTTGCATGCAATAAATAAATAAATTTCAATGGGGGGGGGGTTGACAAGAAATTTTCCGCACCAAGTACCACCTGACCTTGCTACACCACTGCTGAAAAGGCCCCTGATTTGCCAATATTTCAACTGGATCCATGTGTGGGGTGGAGAGGCAGGAGGGAGGGAGGGAAACACAAGACATTTCAAAATTAAGCCAGTTGATGGTTGCAGATGTTGTTGGACTGCAACTCCCATCATCCCTAATCATTGAAGTCTGATGAAGTCTAAGAGGGCTGATGGAGAGCCTCCTGAGAAAATAAGTGAGGAGGAAGAAGGAGGAGAAGGAGAAGGAGAAGGAGGAGGAGGAGAAGGAGGAGGAGAAAAGAAGAAGAAGAAGAAGAAGAAGAAGAAGAAGAAGAAGAAGAAGAAGAAGAAGAAGAAGAAGAAGAAAAGATTTGCCGGTCAACTGGAGAAAGCTGCTCAAAGCTGGTGTGGCAGAAACTCAAGAGGAGCCATTACATTTGTATGGGAACAGAATAATGACGGACACCCCAGTGAAGTGCAGGCTTTAAAGGAGGTTCGCTTTGCCCACTACAAAGAATCTTAGAGCCTGTCGCCCCATTTTAATTAAATATGACAGGTTGGCAAAAGGAGCAGCTAGGTGTGAAACACATCTACTGCTGGAGGGAGGTTCTCCACAGAACCATGACCTGAAATCAGGAAGTCACCAACTGTGACCTTCTCTGTGTTTTACAGAGCAGTTGGCGCTGCAGGCAAGGTTGTCAACTGTGCATTTCCCTGAAACTGACATGCCAGATTTATTATTATGAGCCAGGAAATGAAGGCTACAACCAATACAACTTGCTTCTTGTGTTACCTGGGATGAGTCAGCAGCCTCTTTGCTGCCCTCCTGTTCAGACATTTGAACCTTGGTGAGCTTCTTCATGCCGCCTGTGAACACAGAGTATCCTTTTCTTAAAAAGGTGGCTAGCACCCCAGAGCCATTGATCTGCATTCCCTTAACTTGCCTAAGACTGCAATCCTATGCACACTTTCTTGGGAGTAAGCTTCGCTGACCACATTGGAACAAACTTCTGTGTAGACATGAATCAGACTGCATTGTGTGGCTGCAGTCCCTGCTTACTTGGGAGTAAGCTCCATGCTTCTGAGTTGGCATACAGGATCGCTTTGTGAGTCTTGGGTGGAGATGCAGAGAAATCCATTTTTGATCACATTTTAACAATAAACTTCCTGATTTGCACTTGCCAAACCAGTGCAGAAACTGAAACGCCTTTGAAATTCACACTGATCTGAATTTTGTGCTGCGGTTTTCCAACGAAAATATTTGTACATTAAGGGGCAGTGTGGATAAAAATATGTGTATTAGTGAAAATAATGTACAAGTATGCCTTGTAACGGGGAAAATTGCTTGCAGAAATGTGCATATTAATTAAAACTGTGCCCGAGCATGCACACACACACACACTGGGGAAAATTCACACTGAAAACACTGACAAATGTGGAAAACTGAATTTAATAGTAACCCCCCCCCAAAAAAAAACACAATAGAGAAATAAAAATTGAAACTGACAGATTAATTAATCCCTGGGTCACCTCCAGGCTGTCACTATTTTGCAGGAGGGGTTCAATTGCACACCATAAGTTTAGGTACATGCAATTAAGGTGAATCAGAGTTTACCTGACCTCCTGTTATTGGCATCACCATGGGTTACAAGGAAGAGAAGGAATAGAGACAAGGTGGCATTGAAGCTCTTGGTAAGCCACAGTGATACAGGTAATGCCACATCACTTATCTCTACTGCACATAACCTCCCACAAGGCATTATGATGCAAAATTATGAATAATATTCAAAAGAGCACTTCAAGTACAAAACTGTACTGAAATAAAAAAAATGGTTTCACTATGTCTCCTTTTCAAAGCTGACTTTGTCAAAAGATGGTTAATCAGATTCTTTCCTTAGACTGTGTGTAATTATAGCATATAATTGCACAGCTTTTTAATCTATACATGGCTTTTCCATTAGATGGACCCTTCAGAAGGGGGGCTTTTGAGCTAGGCAGCACTTTTCTGTGCTTCAGGTGTCTCCATCTTTAATTCATTTGCTATTCATTGTAATAAAACTAATCACAATGAATTTATTTGGCATAATGCAGATATTTTATGTCCTTTCATCATCATTCCTCGGCAATTTCAATTATAGCCATTGCCTGATACCAGTGCGGCTACCTTGCATTTTCTCGTTTCGCCTCCTCAATGCATCAATGTTAGCAGCAGAATCATTTGTACCTGCTACCAGCATCAAGGAGAGTAATGATGATGAGAAAACCTTTAATCAAATTTTGAACTAAGGAGTGGGCATGCTTAGACTCTTCAGCATCAACACAATCAAGGACTAGGCCACATTTTGCAATGTTGTAAGCTCTTAGTAGACCATGCAGTTATGCCAGAGATGTTGGTCCTATCCATCTGGCAGGGGAGTTCCCCTCTGCCTTTGTGGCTGCATGCCCACATCCAGTCAGCACTTTATTCTGTCTTCCCCACATTTCCACATCTGTTAATTTCACATCTTATTCCAGCTTTCACATGATGTGAAAGCTACTTCTGGAAATCTAGTGGGATCTAGCAGATGTTTAGTTCTCATTTCCATGTTAACTGTTGCCAGGAAAAATCTGTCTGTAACACTGTTAATGCTGCTTTCATTATCATGCCACCTCCTGGGCTGGCCCAAGACATTTTGGCACCTGAGGTGAATGACAAAATGGCATTCGCCCCTGCCCTATTGACAGGGAAGAAGGGGGGAGTGAAGATCTACATCAGGAACAAGGGGGGAAATAAAGATCTGCATTGGGATCTGCTGCCCCTGTGAATCCTACTGCCTCAGGCAGTCATCTCACCTTGAGTCCTCTGCTCACGTGATGAAATTTGGGCCAGTGTCCCAACATAAGAGTTCTTTCTTGACGTCTAAAATGTGCTGCAACATGGTGGTATATCTACCGTTCCAAAATGCAGCGGATACTGCAGCGTCAAATGAGTGTTAGAAATCAAGACGGAGGCACTAGCATTGCAACAAAGAAAACTAACATAATAAACCTCACGGATGAGTGCAGCCTGTATCTGTGAGAGAATAATACCCAGTTCATTTTGCTGAAACAACAACAGTGTTCTTTCTTTGTGAGCTGAAAACTCATACGAGCTCACACAGCTTCCTTCCTTGAAATCAATTTGCCAGTTTTCTACCAGGCTAGCTTCAAGGTTAATTCACAAAGCCCTAAATGGAGTGCCAGTGTGGTGTAGTGGTTAAGAGCGGTAGTCTCGTAATCTGGGGAACCGGGTTCGCGTCTCAGCTCCTCCACATGCAGCTGCTGGGTGACCTTGGGCCAGTCACACTTCTTTGAAGTCTCTCAGCCCCACTCACCTCACAGAGTGTTTGTTGTGGGGGAGGAATGGAAAGGAGATTGTTAGCCGCTTTGAGACTCCTGAAGGGGAGTGAAAGGCGGGATATCAAATCCAAACTCTTCTTCTCCTCTTCTTCTTCTTCTAAATAACTTGAGCCCAAAGTACGTCAGGGACTGTCTGATCCCTTGCACTCCACCTGGTTCACTAAGATTCTCTTATGTGATGCTTCTGCTGGTTTTCTGCACCCCTGAGGTTCAGTTGGCCTCCACTTGGGGTGAACCTTTAGTGCCCTGCCCTGCCTGCAGAGCTTTGGGAGGAACAGTCCCTGCCTTCTTTCAGACATCTTTTGAAAACTGCTCTGTTTAAACGGCTTAGAACCACAATACCCCAAGGGCTGCCTCTTTCCACATGAACCTACCCTCAGATCATCTTCTGAGGCCCTCCTTCGTGTGCCTCCTCCTCAAGAGGTCTGGAGGGTGGCAACACGAGAATGGGCCTTCTCTGCAGTGGCTCCCTGTCTGTGGAATGCTCTCCCCAGGGAAGTTTGCCTGGCACCTACATTATACACCTTTAGGCGCCAGGCAAAAACATTCCTTTTCAACAAGGCATTTGATTGATCTGATTTATATCCTAAGCCCATTTAAAATGTTCATTTTTTGGGGGGGGGAGGCTATTGGGTTATTGTTTTTATTTTTATTATGTATTTGTGGTTTTATATCTTGATTTTATTCTGTGAACAGCCTTGAGACCCCCAGGTTTAGGGCAGGATATAAATTCAATCAATAAATAAAATAAATTTAGATAGGCTTTCACAATATTAATTTTTCTTTAAACCAGTAAGTATTTACTGATGTTTTACTGATGTGTATTATGTTTTAAAGATGTGTGTGTGTTTTATTGTATTTTATATTTTGTAAGACACCTCAGTATATTTTATGAAATAGTGAATTATACACTTTCAAATCAATAAAAGAGTGTAGAGAAAGTGAAAGAGGGAGAAATCCTGCTGAGACTTGATCTCATATAGGTGACAGATATGGCCCGACAACCGAAATAGTTGCCAGGCACTCTTCTAGAATGAAGCACTGAGGACAGTGTCACACAGCAATCAAACTGCCATGAGTGTTGATTTAAAATAGCTTTATATCTGATGAAGCCAGTGCAGCATTTCATTTAGAGAAGGAACAGCATAGAATAAAGGTTTGTTTGTGAGTTGCCCTCTCAGCTCTTCAGCTGAAAAACAACACACGTCCCCTTTGGCAACAGAGAGGCCCAGATCCAGCTGTCAATAATATATGTTAATTAATTGTGTCATCTCTGAATATCTACATATGCTAGGGATTTGAGAAAGGCAGCAGTGGGGATCCTCTAATGATTTGTGAAGTTCCAGGACAATCAGTACCTGGCCCTCATGCTGAGAAGGCTTTCCAGCTATGCCATCTGGGCAGGCTCCTCCTTGCCGTTGCTCAAAAGAAACAGTTTGCCTACTAGGATGTAGCTAAGGCTGGGAGGTTAATAGAAGGTTAATAGACGTGCTGGCAGATCAATGCACACAGAAGCCAGATCTAAGTGCAGATCAAGGATACAGGTCAGCATACTTCACAAAACCTCCCATTTTTACCCCCCGGCTCTTCCTGGATGTCATAATCAGAGTGGCCCCTAATGTTCTCCCACAGCGGAGCCCAGATCCAGTTATTCCTGCCTAAGCACAATATCCCAAAAAACTTCAGTGGAAGCTAAATGAGTCAACAGCCTGACCTGCAAGCTTCCTCAGGCAGGCTTCACAACTATCCCTAAGCGTAGTGAAATTTGCCACATCAACAGCCGTACCATTGCTGTAGCACAGCATCACTTGGCAAATGCTGCTGAGTTGTGATGGCAATTTGTCAAGGTTTTTCAACACACTGTGCCTCACATTATTGATTTGTCACCAGACCTAAAGGATGACGTTTAAAATGGCTCTCATGACTTGTTCCAAGCAGGGCCAATCAGCGGAAGGACTGGGAAGGCCGTTTGGCCCTGGGGTGTCAAGTTTAAGACCTCCCCCCCAAAAAAATTAACCCTTTTTTGGTATTTGCAACTGATTATTAGTGGGACCAAATTGTGACGCAGTCTCTCAGCTTAAGAGCTACAAACTGAAGCAAATAAGGGATGTGATTTGATAAAAGATGTGATTTTTGTTAAATAATATAGATTATGTGATGTCAAAGAGTTAAAAGTGCCTTATTTTGTTTCTGTGTATCATCATCATCATCATAATAAATTAAACAAAACCAGGAAGCAGTCCGAGCTCTTGGACCTCTGAGGCCTGGCCCCATCCTCCTGTAAAATATAGTCCAGCTATCTGTATAGACTCTAAAACAGGAGTGGAGAATATGTGCCCTCGAGATGACATTGGAATCTACCTCCCATCAGTGGCAGGCTTTGGGCTCTCAAATTTCAGTGGCACCCTGTGTGACACTAAAATTCAGCACCTCCTAGCCTCTCACACTCCACTCTATAACATTGTTTCGTCACCTGCAGTGGCACCTGTGCCCAGTGCGGCCAAACCAGTCATGCTACCCTAAAACCACCTCTGCTCCCATTATCCCTAGCCAGCATCACCACTAGTCAGGAGTGATAGGTCAGTATCATTTGAAGGGCCACGGGTTCTTCACCCATGCTCTGAAATCCAGTTATCATAAACAGCAAGTGAGGTGCTAAATCTCTGTCTGCCCTTTTCACTTCAGATTGCCTAGAGTCCTGACTCATGACTGAATGTTCACCCATACGAAAAGAAAACATACCATGTCCACAGAAAACCAGATATCATAACAGTTCACCTCTGGCCTTCTTCCTGACGTGCTAGATTTCAATGGCTTGGATTTATTTCCCCGTGAGTTGCATGCCATCCTGTGAACCCTCACCTACAATCTGAAGTGATAGAGTCAAGCTACAAGTTCATTACCTCATTAACTGTTTATGAAAACTTAGCCTGTGCATCATTCGTATTCACTATCATTAAACTTTCCCCCCAACGCACACTGGGTGCCATATATAATGGGAAACAGTTTCCCAAAAAATACTGAATTTGTTTTCCTCCCTTGTTTCTCAAATTTATCTCTTGTTTGTAAAGTGACATATGAGAAGCAAAATGGCTTTTTTCCCCATTTAGGCAGAAAGATAACAAAGAGTCTACTTTTGGGGGGCTGTTCTTTGATGATTTAAGTCTCATTCCCATAGCCTGCTCTGTAGAACAAACAAAAACCCCAACTATCTGTATTATATAACAAGAGGAATTAACTATCTTCACTCAAGCCAGTTTCTAAACTTTCCAAATTCTTTTAAATTTATTGTGAGACTTGGATATTTGACTCTCATTTTAATGATCGCCTCCCACCCATATAATATTATGAAGCACAGCTATATCTGTTGCTGAGCCTTGCTTCTTATTTCTGCCTATTGTTGAGTGCCAGCAAAAATAAAACAGGGTGGATATAGGCTGATCTTCCCAACCCTTGTCACCAGAGATCTGGTTACATCAAACTTAGGGCTGGATGCACAGCACCCTTGCTTAGGGATCTGTTTGATTTCCTTCCTATAGCTTCTCTTTGCAGAGCCATGGCTAATGAGTTGTCTGACTTCCCTGTCATTAGGCGCAACCTGGCAGATAGCATGCCACAGCTTGGATGAGCCTCATGTGCAGCACTGTAGATTCTGCTCATGGCATAGGGATGTGGATGCCATGGCCAAAGAGCTGCCATGTGGATAAAAGAAACCACTGTGGACAGAGCAGTCATGTTTGTTGTCCACCCCACCCCACTCTTCCATCTGGATAAATTTATTCTCCATTATTCTTACTTTTCCATCCTTCATTTCACGGTCTTCTATTTTCCTCGGAGCACTTATCGCCGCTGAGATTCACAATGACATAAAGATAATAAATTGGCAGTAATTTCTACCCGCAAGCATTGTCCATATATTGACAACTGTATGCTGTTTGAATAGGTATGAGTGCATGTCTCCTGTATTTGCCTATCCATCTATCTTTGTTTCTCTGTCAATATGCTTCTGTGAGAGTTTCTCTCTTCCCCTCCCAACCATATTGTACTTCCTTCATAAATCTCACACAACACAATGAAGCGTCTCTGTATTTATACAGTACCGATGATGCGGAAACACATCATAGCACAGGGAATGGGCTCTTAACTCCTCTTCTGTTGTTTATCAAACTACTTGAAATGCATGGGGAGAATGCATCAATATTGTTAAGGTTAATGACTGACTGATTCATAATGAGAGAGAAAGAGAGACTATTTACAGGCAAATGTTCCTTAGTAATTGTTGTCATAAAAAGTGTAGATTAAAAAACAACATAGAACCCATACAGAAACTTTCTCCAGGAACCATCTTCAAAAACATTGGGAAGTGGGGTGCCATTAACATAACCTCCAGCTGAAATCACTGAGGGAGTACACAATGAAAAGGACAACACTCATACTGATCAGGTGACTCTGTGGGTCATTTATTCCTGGGTAGCATCACCACCACTTCTCCTTTCCACATATCTAGGTTTGGGCACAAATTGGACCCAGACCTGCAGCATTTATAACGATATGTGAGGGGGTAAATACTTTTCCAAATCCCCCAACTGGCTTACAGCATTGGACCAGAGTCCAATACAGTGGTACCTCGGGTTACATACACTTCAGGTTACAGCCTCCACTAACCCAGAAATAGTACCTTGGGTTAAGAACCTTGCTTCAGGATGAGAACAGAAATTGTGCTCCGGCGGCAGCGGGAGGCCCCATTACCTAAAGTGGTACCTCAGGTTAAGAACAGTTTCAGGTTAAGAACGGACCTCCAGAACGAATTAAGTTCTTAACCCGAGGTACCACTGTATACAATTCAAAGATGGGAGAACAAATTGCCTTCCAGAAAGATCACCTCAAGAGTTAGGTTATCTTTCCAGAATGTTCTTAAAATACCAATGCAACAAGCATTTAAGAAAACAAACATGGTGTGTTGCTATTTATTTTCCTTATAAGCAAAAAGACGAACACAACATTCATTTTATTAAAAAAACCCGGATTTTGTACACCATTGTCTGGCCACCTAACACAGATGCTAAACTACTTTCCCCTCCACTTGCCTTGATGAAGGATAGGGATATGTGGGGTGTGTGTGTAGAAGCTAGTCTACTGTACAAAGGTATAAATTACATCCATTGCTTTGATCACTTTTGCCTCTGGTTCTACCCTCTGCTGACCTGTGACCCTGGAAAACTGACCAGAGAATGCTGTCTACCCCTGAGTTAAGACTTTGTTGACAAAGTCTTTTCATTAAAAAAAAAATCATACCAGTATTGGCTATATCTTATTTTTTTCATGATAAATGGGGGAAGCCTCTTCTTGCTATCTATTCATGGTAACAAAGAAGCAACAAGGATCAAAGGCATCTGTTTGTTCCATCAAGGTTTTTGTTCTTTTTAAAAGAGAGAGAATGAGCTAAAATTCTGTTGGGTTTTCCCCCCAACATCTGTTTTCCTAATATATGCACAATGTGATTGAGTTTGGAAGCAGAGTCCGTCTGCAGGCTCAGATGTTTCTACTGGGAGCAATCAGAACACAAGGCAGACAAAGATGCCAGTGGTGAACTTTATACCATGTTAAACTGTGAAAGGATGCAAGATGACAGCAGAAGGCTCTTGCCAGCTCACATCACTGTCTACAAAGCCCTCAGCTTTTCCTGCCATCCTTCTGGACATCCATCTCCCTTATCATGGAAGGCTTCAGATTTCATAGCCCATGGACAGTGTTCTTACAGATCAGAAAGGGACATCATAAATTGTTAAACAAGTCGGCTTCAAGGAACTGCAGCTCTGTGTAGACCATGTGATCCAGTTCACACAGCTGTCTGTGAACCAGCCTCTATGTGGGCAAAGGCCATGGGGTGACTGTAGCAGCAGCTGGTAATTAGCTACAGGCACCTGCAGAGAACATCTTTCCTGTCCTCTCAGCATCGCTGTCCACCGTTACTCATTCTAGCAGGGCCCAACTTCGTTTGAAAGTGGAGGAGAACAAGGATGTTGTTGCCCAGAAACTTGCATGTTCCTCAACAACTGGAGGTGGCGAGTGAGCCCAGCCACTGGAAGGTGGCACATCTTCCAGAAGGGCTGAAAGAGGCCTCTCCATTGTTTTGTTTTCTGTAAAGTTGGATACACCACCACTCTAGCCTGCAGTTACCGTACTGACCTGAAGATAAGTCTCACTTTTCCCCCCAAATTCCAACTGTGGAAAGTTAAAGTGCGGCTTAAATTCACGACCATACAAAAATTGGCTATTATGATATCGCTGCTGAAACAGACGTACTGTAAAATGGAACAGGTGTGAGTGCCTGCGGAATTTTAAGGGAGAGGCTTATATTCGGGTACTGTCTTTTTTTCTCCCTCCCCCCCCCCCCTTGAATTTTAAAGGTTCGGCTTATATTCAGGTGCAGCTTATATTCGGGCAAATACAGTATTTAAAAAGAGACACACCTAGTTGTAATTCTCCTGGAACATTCAAATCAGGCTTCTTACTTTCTGAAACATCTCCCGTGTAAATATTAAACAGCATCCAATAAGCCCAAAATGGCTATGTTCAACCTTCATTCAACTGTCAGGGCCGTATTTGCCAATCACTGTGAACCACTGAGTACTGTTGTGTTCAGGTATTGCTGCCAGGCTTCCCACTGGCATCTGAATGGCATCTGTGAGAGCAAGATGCTGCACTATGGTGGCCTTTTGGTCTGATCCAGCAGAGCTTTCCTTATGCTGTTGTGCTTTAAATTCTATATATAACAAACATCAGCTGGTTCCTGCATGCTCCTCCACTCCCTGTCCTCCAACAACATTTTAAAAAATATATACACTATGTTTCTCAATTCTTAACTTCCTTCTCTCTTTCTAGCTTTTAGTCACATGGCCCTTCCCCTCAAATTTGATTATTACAAAGTATGTGAAGTCTGTAGTGTTTTTCTTTTTCAATTTTGCCCTGCCCAATGTAATTCAGTATTGTAGCCGCGTCGAAGCATCGTAAACACTACAAGCACGGTTGTATACCATTTTTCTTCAGTGGGGAGGAGAGAATGAAAAGGTTCTCTGGGTGATGGATGCTCCAGGGGGGCCATTATCAGCTACCAGACAAAAAGCACAGACTCACACGACTGCTGTGAAACACTTAGAACACCAGCTTTCATCTAAATGCTTTGGGCACTGTTAAGTGGCCAAAACACTTTTGGAGTGTGATTTGTTGCTGCTAAGTGAAAGGGGCAAAAATATTTAGATCATTCAAACATTATCATTTTGGTAGAAGCATTTGTCACTAAGACTACAATTCTACGTACCTGGGAGTAAGCTGCATGAAGTATAATGGGTCTTCCTTCCAAGTGAAACATTATTATTATTATTATTATTATTATTATTATTATTATTATTATTTATTAAATCCTTCTGCCTAATCCAACACACATGCCCCACCCAGCCTGCTTCAAAACAGGGTTGAAATGATATATATATTTAAACAGTGGTGTTAGTGTTAAGGCTTGCTGTGGCCATTTGGTATTCAGAGAATATCTCCTCTCACCTGCTCCTTTGGGTGCGACAGAGTGTGCAAATAAACTGGCTGCTGAGCCAATGGATGCTAACAGGACTGGCCCACCCATTAGGCAAGGTGAGGTGACTGTCTCAAGCAGCAGGACCATAGGGGCAGCAGATTCCAATGCAGATCTTTATCCCCACCAACACCACCTCTTGTTCCTGGTGTAGATCTTCACTCACCCTTCTTCCCTGCTGGGGAGGGAGGAACCATTTTGTGGTTTGCCTCAGGTGTCAACATGCCTTGAGCAGCCCTGGGGGCTAATACATGCAACCCCTGATTGTTCTGAAAGGTGTCCATCTTTCCTTAAATGAACAGGTATTTCTTTCACCTGTGAAAAATATGAAGTGCCTCGTGCATTTTATTATCAAACAGTTTCTGTGTACTTACAGAGTTTCAAAGACAAGCTTTCAGTGAGTAACTATAATAAATATGTCTCCTGTCTTTTCTCTTCCTGTACACATTTGCTTAACTCTACCTTGCCTCTCAATTGTCTGTCAACATAACAAAAATATCAATATCTAAAACTACTCTATATTATACCTTGCCTAATAATTCACTGTGAACTGATGGTGGCAAAGTGGCATTTTGGGGCTAATGATCCAATAGGCTATAAAGGAGGAGACATTTGGTGTCAAGGTGTTTGTATTAATAGTTGCATGGCACAATACAAGCCGCCATTGATTTTATAGCTTTCTTGTCACTGAATTAAGTGGTTTTCCTCGTGTTGCATAAATGATCAATCAATGCCCACACCCTGCAGCTAATTGGCACCTAAAATAACAGCATAAAATGTTAAAGGGGAAAAGAAAACAGATTTCTTGTAGAGGCATGTCATGGTAGGGCTCAGTAAAAAAACCCAAAAAACAAACCAGGAAGATTGAGTACAATGGGAAACACTTGAAAACATGCAATATACAAGCTTTCTGAAATGGCAGAGTGGTCACACCACTGAAATTAGTCTTGAAATATACTTTCTGTTGTAGCCAATATGCTAAGGTGCAGGGTATGTGGTACCCACAA